GACTGGGTGAAGCACAATGGTGGGAGGCTCTAAGGTCAATAGGATACAAAATCAAGGTGAGTTCCAGGAGAGACTTGACCAAGACAGTCAATAGTCAAGGTGGATTGATGAGTATATGCCAAAAAGAGAGAATTAGTGTGAGCATCTGAAGGTCAGAGGTGACTGAACCAATGAAATGGGCAAGTTGGAGTCCATGCTCTTGACAAACCCTTGACTGAACATGAGATGAGTGATGAGTAAGCGGTAGCTCCTTTCCAGCCTCACCTAAGCTGCAGAAACAAGAGGCTCTCCATAACAGATTTGAATGTGGGTGCCTGAGAGTTGATCAGAAGTTAGGTAGTTGACAAGAACTGAAAAAATACAAAAGCTTCTGTGCTGAGTAATGCCTGAGCCCCCAGAGTCCCAGCAAAAATATAAATTAGCTGAAATTCAGGAAATCAAGCTATCAGGCAACCAGGGGAATCCATATGCAATTATGAGCGCAAAAAGGAACCTTGAATGTAAGCTTGCGATCTTAGAGAAGATTCCTTTGTGATACATGCCAATTCCTCATAGTAATCTTGGCACCAGGATGGATCCAACTTTTAGATCTTGTAGCAGCATACTCTGATGCAGAAGAAGAGCAGGAAGGGCACATGTGGGAAAAGAAATATATTTTCCCAGCTCAACAATTCTGTCAAGGGCAGATCCTACCCATGTGCATTTCCCCTGCAATTTCCTCATCCCTTTCGTACAGACTAAAAAGGCACTCATCAGGAAGCCCTCCATATCCTGCCTTGCTGGGCCTCTGGCTGAACAGCAACAATGAGAGTGAAGAGAAGAGTGCCTAGACCCCAGGGAGGCAGGCTCTTCTGCACTATAGCTGAATGACCCTTGAATAGCACTGACTTCAAAGAAATCTCTTCCTGCAGGTTTAATGAGCCCCTTGGGAAGCTCCTGATGTGAAATGGGAAACATGACTTGATATAAAAGTGAAAGATTATGTGTCAGCAGGGATGATTTGATTCTTAATGCAGTGTTAATTTATTTGCTGTGATTTCACACATCTGCTTTGGCCACAATAACATATTACATTAATTCCTGAGATATTATTACACATAGGTATATTCTCTATATATGAGGTAGGCAGGGAATGGGGGAATTTGTATATGTACTTTAAAAAAAATTATATATACCCTTTTATTCAAAGAACTAGCAGGAAGAAAACTTTAGATTTCTGTACCATTTGCATACATAATCTCTTGGGACTAAGACATTATTTGGCATTTGGGTCCATGAGATGGCAAAATAATTTTGAAGGAAGCAGATTCTGGAGAATCTTGGGCCACAAAGTAAGCCACTATATTTAGGGCTACTTAAGTTTGGTTGGTTGGACAGCTTTACTCTCTTTGGAAATATTACTTTATAAATTTTGTCTGAACAGCAAAAACAAAAGTGTTTCCCTAAACATTTGAACTGAGGCTTATACATAGGAAAGGACACACAAAAGAAAACAAAGAAAAACCACTTTGCAGCAAAGAAAAATAGATCCCATCTGCCACTTCTGTTCTTTTGAGTCTCCCAAGACAGGTTGGGGTTGCCCCTTAAGAAGACAATTTGATGGTTTCATTAGGAAACAGATTTATGTAGGCCACCAGGGGGGATAAAGTTCAGTTAATCCTAGCTCTTTGTGAATGAAATGTAGAAGAGTTCAACACAGAGATCAATTCCAAATCGAATGCAGTCCCTCCCGAGCCACACAAATCTCAGGAGGCTACAGATGCTAGCGCTTCCTATGGCAGATGTATCCAGAACTGAGATCAGCTCGCCGGGGCTGCCTCTCTGATGCTGCAACTTAAACCTTGCCAGCTCAGCAGCTTTCCCCCCGGTGAGTTCAGTGGGTGTCTGGACTGCAGTAGCGAGAGAAAAATGGAAGTGAGGGCAGGGGGCTGTGGTTAGTAAGAAGGCTTTCTACTGAGGTGTCCAGGCTACCCTAAGTGTGTAGGATCTTTCACTTTGCAAAGGGAGCCCCTTTCTCCTCTCTGACTTAAATATTACTTGTGATTGTGGAGGAGACCCAGGACCCACTTCTCAGGAAAAATGCAGTTCTGCCAGGTTGAGGGGTATAGAGAGTCAGAATAGCTGACCTTCTCTTTCAACAAATGGTTGAGTTTAAAGACACTATAGAAAGAACCACTACATATGAGCATGCTCTCTAGGAATTTACTGTCCAGTAGAATGGAGGTCAGTAGATTAATGTTCATTCTTACAACATATACAAAGCTCCTATGAAGTTTTATTTACCGAACATTTGAAGCTGCAAAGCTAAAAGGTTCACCTGGAAGTCTGTGGTTGAGAAGAGAATGAAGTTTTGAGCTCATATAAAGATAAGAGCAAATCCAGACACCCCATGTAGTAAATGGAATAATTGTTAGTAACTGTGCATTCTCTCCTGTTTTATAACATTCAACCACACCCTTTGCTCTGTGCCTTTGCAGTTTTTCCCACTAGATGTGAAGAATATTTCCCTGCACTGTTCATGGGAAATACTCTTTGGTAAGACACAGATTTGCAAGGCCAAGAACTCAGGTATTTTTTTCTTCTAAATGTTTGCAGGTAACTATGGCTCTACTTTAATTTCCCTTTTCTTCAAATATCACATTTTTCATCCTTTTAAATAATTTTGATGATCTTCTCTAGGATTCTGAATACCACAGTCTTCATAGATTTTCCTTTGCCACCCATGATTTTAGGCAAGCTATCAAAACTTTGGGTCAGTTTTAATATCTGTGAAACAAGTGGATGACAACTTTCTTCATCCTTAGGATTCATTCCTGCCATAATACTCATGGATCTAAAAATTCTCAGATTTTTATTGTTATTGGAGCCATGGATGAGAACCTGTTAATAATACAGCTACCTCAATCTTATTTCCATATATTTCAATTTAGCAGGTTTGGGATGGAATTTCAGCATCTGTATTTTTCATGAAGATTCCCCAGATGGTCTGATGTGCACCAAAGTTTATTCTATGAATTTCATTGTTTTTTCATGCAAACTATTACTTTAATAAACAGAATGGCTTTTAAATAAGTGATAATGAAAATAACTTCCCAGTTGCCTCTAGTGGGGATCTTCAATCAGGGGGGAGTTGAGATAATTGGAATCTATCAAGATGAGAAAATGCCCTGAGGAAACTGAGAGATGCGCGGATCCACAGAAAACCATTTCACATTTAATGCACATTTGTTTTATCAGAATAGAGTATTAATTGAAAATGGAGTTGTCTGGACTTGAAGGAGGAAGCACAAAGTAGTCAGTGTAAAATTTATGAGTGGTTATTAAAAATAAAAATGGTTGTTTCCGAAGTGTGGTGAGAATAAGATTTTTATTTAAAAGGAGCCTACACATTCTAATAGGTGAGTATTAAAATATGGGTTCTAGGTATATGCGTCTTTGTGCGTTTATACACCTATATTGTATACACATGTTTATATGGGGAATCTATGTGGCATATTAAAATATGTTTCAAAATAATTGACAAATGATCAACAATTCAGTCATAGCATAGTGCTTGAAAATTGCATTTCCTGCAATCTATGTTCTTAGGACCACAATCTTTAACGGCTTGCGAAAGCCGAAGTATAAAATGACAATTTTGAGTTGTGCAGCCTATTTTGGGACATTTAAAGATGTTAAACAGATTTCCCTTTGGACTTATTCATTCCTTATCTAAGATCATTTACTATAAAAGAGTCTGCCAGACAAGAAGGGAATACAGGGACGTAGGGCCAAAGGGAGCAGAAGAGAACCTGGGAAACACACCAAGTTTGGGCTGGGGAATCACCATTCTATTTGGAAGCTAACTGAATACAAGGCTATCCATCCATCCTCATCCTTGAATCTCCTCCATGTTCAGAAGGAAAATAAAAAATGCCTGTCCTAGCCCTAGTGTTTCATTTACACTTCATGCCTTTCTCCATTGTTAGTGGACTCTTTTACTCTTTTGCAGTGAAAGGCAGCTTTCTTGGGGCAAAGGTGTCAGCCCTAGCAGAGGATCTCAGTGATCTTTCTGGTGGTGAAGCTTAGACTGTGTGTTTAAACATCATTTATGAAGAAGTACACTGTGAGTGGACTCAGGCTTATGCCCTGCACCCTTCTTCCCAGTCCCTGGGACACCAGCTACCCAACCACCTTGGTTGTTCCAGAAGTAAAGGCTCACCATGGTGTGGCTTATGTAATACACATATGTGCTGTGTTCCCTGTGGATAATTAAGGCTACTTTATATGCCTAGGACTAGTTAGCAACCCTTTCGCTGTTGTGTTTTCAAAAGGGTGACAACTACTTTCCCATTGTACTTTTGGTACATTTACATCAAACTCTCCCAACTACAGTGTCTCCTAATACTGACCCCTGGGCCAATTAGCAGCTTAGAGTGATTGTTTCAATTTTCCAGCGACCAATTAAATAGTTGCTCTAGACAGAACTGACAACACAATGTGAATTTAAAAACCGGGATCTGCTGGTTGAGGGGAGAAAGCCAAAGCCCAATAAGGAAAATGGGGGCAGGTCGAGGCTGTGAGTGGCTCTGTTTTTGCTAGCAGGATACTGAGTCTTAAATTCAGATTAAATCACAGTTTACCTGACAAGTACCCCCCTTCCCGTTAGTAAAATAATAGCAATAATTTAAAAATAGCAGAGCTTCTGGGTTAGTGCAAGGGGAAGCGAGACCTTTAACCAAGGCCACCCTACTGGCGTATTGCGAGGCACCTGTTAGATACGCTTTTGTACCCTGACCCCCATCCCAAGAGGCAGCTCCACACCTGCATTTACCCTTCAGCCTAAATGGACTCCCATCAAGCCTGTCTCACTTCAGTATTGGATCCACCTAGGCACCGAACCGCAGCCACTCTGCAGAGGCACTCTCAGCCACTCTGTCCCCTAAGGGAGATTTAAAAGCGCCCAATGGTCGCCCTCACTCACCCTCCCTCAGCCAGAATCTCCATCTAGGGAAGGAATTTCAGTTGTCTCCCGGAAGGTAAAAAGCGAAAAGGTGAGGGATGCACCGAGAGAGGAGATCTACTCACTTTCCTCCCCACTCGCCCACGCGTCCGCTCCCGGCTCCCTCTCCGCCTGCTGGGGTCTGGCGGTCAGGTGAGGTTACCTGGGCACCCCGATTATCCCCGAGGGGCGCTGCAGTCCTCCTTTTCGAAATCGCCCCGCTCCCCGCCGGGCCCCAGGACTCTTGCCCCTCTCCCCCTGCGCGCGTCCCCGGCCCCTCGGGCTCCCACGCGCAGCGACAGCCGCACAGCGCGCTCGGCTCCCCTCCGCCGACCTGGCGTGACGCAGGCGGAGACTACTTAAGGGCGGATTAGAGGCGGCGGCCGCGGATCCCCGAGTCCAGCATTCAGCTCCGCGCGCTCCGCCCGGCCTTGCAGGCTGCCGCGCGGGAGCTCCAGGTGCCCGCCGAAGTAGCAGGAACGGAGCGGGTGCCCGGACCCTCCCCCGACCCCCTACCTGCGGCGGGGAGCGGCGCCGAGACCTCTCCCAGGCGGGCGAGGGCTCGAGGACCTGCAGGCTGCCTTCCCGCCCCGCCCCTTGTCCCGGGGTCCGCGGGATCCAGACCTGACCCCTGGACGGCGCCCGAGGTTCATGCCCGCTCTCCGGACCGCGCCAACTGCCCCATCGGTCGGGACGCGCTTGGATTTCTTTCCCCATTTCTCTTTTAAGTACAATAAAAGGAAAGGGGGATTCGAGGATTTTTAAAATTGCTTCTTTAATTGGAAGGCAATTCGCTCCCATTCTGGAGGTGCGGCCCGGGGAGGGGCCAGGAGCGGGAACGTGCCCGGTGCTGCCCAGTCTTTGTCTGCTGCCTCCGGATGCACAGCGATGGGGGAATGGACCATCTTGGAGAGGCTGCTGGAAGCCGCGGTGCAGCAGCACTCCACTATGATCGGGAGGTAAGGACGCCAAGCCGGCCGTCAGTGGCCCCGTCGGGCGGCCCCTGGGAGTCCCTTCTCACCTCCCGACTGAATCCCTCTCTCCAACCCCCAGCCTGTCCTCTGCCTCCTCCCCAGCGTCCTAGGTCGAGGCTATGGAGTTCCCGGCTATGAGGGATTACCCGACGCCCCGCGGTGTCCCCCTTCTCTAGCTACTCCTGACCAGGTGCCCATCCCTTCCCCATCAAGCACTACCGAGTGCTTTTCTTCCCACATCAGAAAAGGAGCCGCTGGCTCAGTCTTGGTCCCGCCACTCTCCAGAGTCAGAGCCAATCTCCAGCCGGTTCCCTAAATAGAATCTACAAAGAAGACAGGATTGCATTTGGACAGAGAAAGGCAAATGGGGAGATGGATTTACTTTTCAGAGCAGATGACTCTTTTCTCAACAAATAATTACTAAACTAAACTTATTTGGCCGTGTAAACTTACCGAACCTACATACCCAATTGGCATTTTTGTGTCTGTATCTGTATCTATATCTACCTAGATATAGATATCTATATCTATATATTTTAGTATATATGAATAAATATAGTCATCTGCTTATCTAAAGCATTAAATTTAATATTCATACTGAGAATAAATATACACGTGGAGTAGTTATATACACACCCTGTGTGGAGACCTTGAAGCATGCACTGTCTGTAAAGGTATTCTGTGTGCATTTGCCTTATCCAGAGTGAAGGTGTGTTTTGTGTTTCTATACATTCTATATAGAGAGATTAAACTTATCTGTTGCAAGTAGACTATGTCCAATGCATGGAGATGTGCGTACCTGGAATCTCTGTCATATGAAATGTTCCCAGCCTACCAGCAGTCAGCAGAAAAGGAAGAGACCTAAAGGTTTCCCAGATTCCCAGTTCAGTACCAGCCCAGGCTGGACAGCTCCCCAGTCAAACGACTGGTAAACACCATCAGCCAAGGGAAGGGAGGAGCTGGGGTTTCCTGTCAGTGACGCAGCCCGTGAGAACCTCTCTCCTTCCCTCTTCCTCTGCTCAGGATCCTGTTGACTGTGGTGGTGATCTTCCGGATCCTCATTGTGGCCATTGTGGGGGAGACGGTGTACGATGATGAGCAGACCATGTTTGTGTGCAACACCCTGCAACCCGGCTGTAACCAGGCCTGCTATGACCGCGCCTTCCCTATCTCCCACATACGTTACTGGGTCTTCCAGATCATAATGGTGTGTACCCCAAGTCTTTGCTTCATCACCTACTCTGTGCACCAGTCGGCCAAGCAGCGAGAACGCCGCTACTCTACTGTCTTCCTAGCTCTGGACAGAGACCCCCCTGAGTCTATAGGAGGTCCTGGAGGAACTGGGGGTGGGGGCAGCGGTGGGGGCAAACGAGAAGATAAGAAGTTGCAAAATGCTATTGTCAATGGGGTGCTGCAGAACACAGAGAACACCAGTAAGGAGACAGAGCCAGATTGTTTAGAGGTTAAGGAGCTGACTCCACACCCATCAGGGCTACGCACTGCATCAAAATCCAAGCTCAGAAGGCAGGAAGGCATCTCCCGCTTCTACATTATCCAAGTGGTGTTCCGAAACGCCCTGGAAATTGGGTTTCTGGTGGGCCAATATTTTCTCTATGGCTTTAGTGTCCCAGGGTTGTATGAGTGTAACCGCTATCCCTGCATCAAGGAGGTGGAATGTTATGTGTCCCGGCCAACAGAGAAGACTGTCTTTCTAGTGTTTATGTTTGCTGTAAGCGGCATCTGTGTTGTGCTCAACCTGGCTGAACTCAACCACCTGGGATGGCGCAAGATCAAGCTGGCTGTGCGAGGGGCTCAGGCCAAGAGAAAGTCAATCTATGAAATCCGTAATAAGGACCTGCCGAGGGTTAGTGTTCCCAATTTTGGCAGGACTCAGTCCAGTGACTCTGCCTATGTGTGAGAGGGCAGGTTTCATGAAAGTCTGGGGATGACAAGGAGCCCCAAAGCAGACGACTGCTCAGAGGTGGCTGAATCTACCTTCATTTATGTCACTCTCACCATTAAGATGTAGGAAAAGACTGGATAAAAGAAGATCTTGCATCAATGGGAGAGAAGAAAAAGTGGAACCATTTTCATGTATCACCTAATTGGTTCCACAGAGACAATTGGGTAGAGTGATGAAATGGACGAATTAGACTTCTTTGGGCCCTTTCTGTTTATGGCCCAGCCTGATCCTGATAACAGTAAACTTGCACAGCTACCAAGTAGGACTTAGCCCTGCTGAGCTCTTCATCCTGGTGAATGGTGTGAGTCAAGTACTTCATTGAAATAAAATTTGTGACCTATCTCAACACATCCCTTTATCCTGATCCATGGGACACACACATCCTTGAGGCATCCTTCATGTATCTTCCCCACCAGCATGCCCCTTTCCCTCAATCCAGGATAGCATGCCAGCTTTTTCTTTTTTTTTTTTTTTCTTTTTTTTTTTCAGAATCTGGCCTTACATTAAACCTAATATGGTTTATTTGTAAACTAGAGGGAATTACATGGGGTGCTTGTTGGAGAATGGCCATGGCAGAGGTTTTCATTAGAGCCCCATCTGACTGGCCCTTAGTCATGATGAAAACCTTAGGAATGTCTCAATATTTCCAGTTTTCTAACTCAAACTGCACTGGTGCTGTTTATTAGGGATGGGGATGGATGGGAGGGAGGGAAATGCAATATGCAACTATAACACTTCTGTGAGATTGTTGTTGCACTGTTAGGCATGTGGTTAGGAGCTTCAGGATATTTCTGCCTTCCAGCTTGTTTAGGACTTTGGTTAGCATTAAAGAAATTGTTCGTTTGTTAATATCAAGGGTGTCTACCTGAGCCACAGAATTTCTAAGTGGTGTATCTCACTCATTTTCTTACATAGTTTTGTTGTGCAACACAGCTGCACCATCATTTTGCCATGATTTGAATTTACCTGTGTGCTTACACCAGAGACCTTAATTATCCCACGTCAATCCTGATTTATTATTTTTTCAGTTATTTTTGAAAGACACGCACACACACACACACAAAATCAATGGCTTAAAAAACCTGGAACTAAACATTATTGGCTAACATGTTTACGGTTACTTATTTGAGACATATACCAAAGGTTCAAAAACCTATTGCTTTGGACTGTGAATATGTTTCATTCTTTTTGCTCTTATTTATTTAAGTGCCATACCATACCTTTCATATCCACTGTGTATTTAGTTAAAATATTGGCCAAGAGAAATATTTGGATAATGTGCTTTTCTGAAGCTTTTTGTTCCCTTTGAATTATCATGATCATTTTTAATTTAGATATGGACATGGTGTAACACACAACTAAGGATTTGTTTAAAATAAAGTTCTTGCCTTTTTTTGTAAAATGGGAAGAGTCTGCACTTTTTTGGGGGGTATATTTATTTAAATGCATGATCAAAAATGTTATAACAGCAAAACATTGGGGCAGGAAGTAAGTGATGGCTAAATAATATTTGAGGAATGACCAATAAAATTCAACCAGCCACTAACAGATGAAGAGAGGCTTTCATGGATACTTTCTTCCAAATGAATGTTTTATGACTGTTTATAAGGGAGTGAAGATATTCAAATAGTATTATTTATTAATTCCTTTCCATTTCAGCTCAAAACTTTCTCTACTTGTCTAAGTATATTTCTTATAACACAGATGTCAATACTACATCATATTAGCCCATTCCAGGAGTGGAATTTTTTTTTCTTTCCACCACACTTTTTTCCTGCCATGGATTAATCATTAAACTTGGCAGGCATGCTGTTCGCTCCATGATCTCTTCAGGGCCTGATGCTTAACACAGTGCTAACCCAGTAGTCAAGGAGAACTCTCTAGACTAGTGCTGCTGGTAGAACGTTCTGTAATGATGGGGATTTCTTCTATTCCTGCTGCCCAATGTGACAACAACTAGCCAATGTGACTACTAAGCTCTTAAAACATGGCTAGGGCAAATCAAGAAGAGAATTTCTAATTTTATTTAATTTTAACTAATTTAAATAGCCATGTATGGCTAGTTGCTTCTCTATTACAGCACAGTTCTAGACTTTTAAGTGATCATTTTTTATTGGGTTCTTCAAAGGAGATTGATCCTTTGTTGATATGTCATAAGACATTACTTTTTAGCCACAACATTTTATTCTCATTTTTGGTATTTTCTTCCTACATGTGGTCCCATTATTTCAGCAGGCTAGTGTTCTTTCTCAGTTCTTTAGTGCTACTCACCTAATTCCAATGAGCACTTGGCTTGAACATTGCGAAGCAACGTGGTGTTTCCTGGATGATTGCTTTTCAAACACGATTGTTGCATCTCAACTATGGCAGCACAGATGCCAAATTTAGAATGAAAATATGTTCATTTCAATCTATAGGTTTCTATCTGCAGTATAAATAAGCAGTTGAAGATGATTATCCTTGAGTAAAGAAACAGATCCTCCTCCGTTTTGTGTTTGGTAAGCTAAAAATGTTTTAAGACGTCTCCTAGAGATGGAGGAAGAGTGTTGCTTGAGAGCTCTTAGCATATGCTTGGGTGTGAAAGAAATAGGCATCTGTGTGGAAAACAAGATCTGTTGTATTTATGCCTTGATGTAGGATTAAAAGAATCGTAGTGTTTTCTGGTAGAAATTCAACCCATATTGGCGGGATTGATCTATTTCAGTTCTGTGATGTTTCCCAACACCCACAAATGGCAAAATTATTAATTCACTTGTCAGCAATGGTGAAGAAAACACTTTCTTTCAGAGTATATAGAGTCTTCCCTCAGAATGACCATCAGTGTCAGTCTTTTTCTTTCTATGCAATGAAGGAAATACAAGGATGATTTTATGATTCGCATAGCTATGCGATGGATGTGACGTTAATTTGTATTTTGTGAGAGAACATCACTGATAGAGTCTCTTAAATTTAAGAGAACTTTGGTAAACTGCAGGCTCTCTTGGCCTGTGCACATGTGTGTGCATGTGTGCATGTAGGTGTGTACACTGGTTAAGTAAGTAGTGCGTGACAGTGCATCAAATTAGTTTAAAAGTTTGGAGAATAACCTGGAGAAACTGAAGCTGTTTGACATGAAGAAAGAAAAGCTGAAAGGGCAGAATTTGTAATTTGTAAGTGCTTAAATATTTAAAGGTAAAAAATGTGAGGGATAGTAGTTGTACTATCTGTGACCTCTGTGGACAGAGAAAAATGACTGGACTTAAAATCCAGGTGGGAGTGGTTTTAAAAGCACTAGAAAGAACACTGTTACCTTTTCACCTCTGCTTTTTTTTTTTTTTTTTTTCGGAGTCTTGTTCTGTCACCCAGGTTGGAGGGCATTGGCAAAATCTCGGCTCACTGCAATCTTCACCTTCACCTTCACCTTCTGGGTTCAAGCGATTCTCCTGCCTCAGTCTCCTGAGTAGCTGGGATTACAGGTGCATGCCACCACACCCGGCTAATTTTTGTATTTTTAATAGAGACAGGGTTTCACCATGTTGGTCAGGCTGGTCTTGAGCTTCTGACGTCGTGATTTGCCTGCCTTGGCCTCCCAAAGTGCTGGGATTACAGGTGTGAGCCATGGTGCCCAGCCCCTACTTTTTTCTTTTAACTGCTTTTCTCTTCAGGGAATACCTGTCCCTCTACCTCCTTTCACTGGATGTGTTCCTCTGTGCCCATTAAAAATCAGTCTGGCTGTCCCCTCACCAAGGAATCTGTTCTAAACCCTCCTTCAGGCTGGCCTAATGCTCCTGCTCTGAGTCCCCATAAAAGTCCCTTTGCTGGTAACTTATTGTGCAGAGATGAGACAATTCTAGATCAGGGCATGGTTCCTTGAGGACAGGAACTGTGCTTTACCCATTGTAACCATATACAACATTCACTGTCACCGTCTCCATCTTTCTTCTGGGAATGGTCTTATAGACTCAGAATGTATGAAAGCTAAACACATCCTGTCAAGATATTAAGGCAAACCTTTTATAGTACAGTTGATGAAACAAAACCATCTAAACTCAAGGCAGTGGGCTTCTAAAAAGGTGGTGTGAGCATTCATTCATCTTGGAGGTTTGGAAAACTTTAGATGGAACTTAGAAAACATTATTTACATTGGTTTTGTTTTTTTAAATTTTATTAAGTGTATCAGTTCACTAAAGCTGGTGCCATAACAGAATGCCACAGATTGGCTGGCTTAAACAACAGAAATTTATTCTCTCACTGTTCTGGAGGTTGGAAGTCCAGAATCAAGGTGTTGACAAGTTTGGTTTCTTCTGAGGCCTCTCTCATTGGTTTGCAGGTGGTCACCTTCTCATGGTGTCTTCACGTGGGTGTTTCTTTATGCATCTGTAGCCGTGGTGTCACTTTATGTGTCCAAATTTCCTCTTCTTATGAGGACACCAGTCAGATTGGGTTAGAGCTTCATTTTAACTTCATCACCTCTTTAACACCCTGTCTCCAAATAAAGGCAGGTACTGGGCATCAGGGTATTAACATATGGATTTTTGGTGTGTGTGGGGCACCATTGAGCCCATAACACTAACTTTCACATCTTTAGGTACACTTATGATTAGGGGGATTACATAATTTCTTGTGCAAAATAGGACACCTTTGAGAATGAAAGGGTCAGAGTAGCTAACTGAATGGAACACCAGAACAATAGGTAGAAATTGCGTCTGTCCTGGGCAAACTAAATTGTATGGATACCTTACTTAAGACAATAAACAAATACGGAGCTCCTCCTGCAGGGCCTGGAACCCTGGAGACACAGGGATAATAACACTCAGGTTTCAGTTTTCGAGAAGGACTATGAAAAAGCAACTTCTCAGACAAAGGATCAACATTTATGTCAATCATAGTGGAAAAACAGTACTGTAAAAACACCGATGCCCTTGACCCACTGCAGACCTCCCACATTAGAATCTCTGATGCTGTAGGCTGGGCATCAGTATTTTTAATTTTCACACTCATGAGGTTAAGATCAACTGAGTCAGGGCATTAGCATAAGATTATGAGAATCAGGTATTTGGAGGATAAATCATGAAAGAAGGAAAACGGAAGTGTGAGGCTCTCACGGCAGATCTGCCCTTGTTTAAATCAGTGATGAGAATATTATTGATGAGAAGCTGTGGATGGAAGACTAACCACAATTTTCAGGGCTTTAGTGGTGAGAGCAGTGGCCAAGGATGAGGCTTTCATGGTGGCAAGATGGGCTGACCACGGGTAGAACCTGGAGTGGAGAGAGGAGGAGGCGCCTAGGACANCCAGTTAGCAAACGAGAGTTGCAGGGTGGTGTCACAAAAGGTAAGGGAGGTGGAATCTCCAGGAAGATGTGGTATTAGTATTCTATTTTACTACGT